AAAGTCCGGAGAAAAGCTTTGTACAATAATGTCAACGATATAAATTGATTCAATCTACGGGATGTGAAGAAACGGTACTAAGACGGCTTCCATTGTACGATATGACTGTGCCAAGTCCTGTTCCGGAACACGCTTTCCACTCTGGCTCGATATTACATTCTATTTATATATCCCTCAAGAATTTTTATACAAAATGTTTGGAACTACTATCTATTCCTTTATTCGTGGTTTCTTTGTTCAATTTAGATCGAACTCGTGAAATATCTTTTGAATTATGAGTAATTGAAAATAAGAAGTTTTTCGCAAACTGAGTTTTAGGACTGTATACATCTTAACACAGAAATAACATCTTATTCTTCAATTATTACTAAATAGATTTTATTTCGACAGGTTAATTAATTCAGTTGAGTTATAAAGGCTTAACATTAAAAAACGATATACACGAGAGATAGAGATAATTTTGAAATAAAGTTATCAATAAAAATCTTCTTTTAGGAACGATCTTTCTCAAATGTATACAAAGAATTTGCAGATCGAAAAAGTAATGATAATCTGGTGACACTTTGCATATTTATCTGTAAACTAAATGCTCAATTAAATAATAACGAGCATTTCAGCCATTTTACCTTTATAATGTGATAGCTTGGGCGTTTCAACGCATTTAAATAATTATGTAGATATATGCAGATAAGATGCTTATATAATACTTTGCATTTATGCTACTTATGGTATTTCCATTTTCTCTTTTAACATAATAAAAAAACATTGATGTTTGGGCAATTTAATTTTAATATATCATACAATAATAAAATACTGTAGTTAATAATAATTACATAAGAGGCATCAAATTATGTATTATTAGTAAATAGTAAGTACTTTAAATCTTTCATAATTGTGCGTTTCTTCTTGATAAAACGACTTACAAGAGTATAAATTCTGAGAATAAACTATTTTAGATACTGAGAATTCAATATATATATTATCCTCTTATCACATATTGAAGATGGAAAATGCGTGTAAATCGACAGATATGGCGCTATCGAGTATATTTTACGAATCGATAGAGGAATTACCTCTATAGTAGGTCACGCGTACAAGATGAGAAAGACACGTAAGAGGGATGTGAATTAAACGGAGATACATTAGAGAGAGAGAGAGAGAGAGAGAGAGAGAGAGAGGGAGAGAGAGAGAGGTAGATTTCTAATTAGACCAACTGTCCCTTTAAGTGCAATGAGATTTACTGCGAATGCCGCGTATTAATTGGCTGCTACCAGTGCTGATCAAACGAATTGTTTGCCGATTCGCTATTGTCGAAGAATTCCCTTTGACGGAGATGATAAGGCGGATGAATGTACGTGCTGCACGCTTTCCGCGTACGTGCCCCTGCGATACTACGTGCATTTTTACTCGCAGATCATTTGATTATTCGCGTTGCAAACCGGACACGACGGTAATTTCATCGGAATGCAAGCCAATGTAAATACAGTTAAACATTAAACACGGGCATTCGTCTCCTCGTTAATAGCGTAAAATTAAATTTGCAAGAACGATATATGGCGATACATAGCGTACCGCTTCACTTTCGAAAGCGCAGAACGGTGTTATCGGTTATTCAATATTAAATGTAGAATTTATGTTTTCATTTAATATTCAATATTGCACGTGCCATATTGATTGCAAATTATAAGATATTGATGGAAAATGGAAATATATTGTAATAGTCGAGATTTGATGTACTTTAGGTCTTCGCGAATAAATCTGTAGACATGAAAGAAATACATTCATTGTTATGCTTTTTCAAGCAATAACATTTGAAGAAAAAGAAATAAAGAAGATGAAAGAATATGTAGGCTCTACGATATTTTGATATCTTCAAATTTTAATATTCAATATTTTACAAAATTAAAATTCTGTTAAAATAATGTCTTCGCGAAATTGAGCGACAAATGGGACTTCATTATAATCTGATTGGGACTTATTCGTGCTCAACCATTTGAAACATAAAAGTTTATGTATCTCTCTTTACCAATAAAAATTGAATTTGCGAAGAATAACAATACGTCAATTGAATTTTTTTATTTTTTTTCTTGTAGTCTCAAATATCGATTTGAATAGCGACGAATGTAAGAAAAGTTAGTGAAATATCGTAGAAATGTATAGCAAGAATCTGAATCGTTTAATCAAAATTCTGATACATCTGTAGAAGTTCAGCGAACAGAAAAAATCTACAGAAAGAGGGATCGAATCGAAGAGATGAATACGATGAAATTGATTTCCGAGGCAACACATTTTCACGCGCAATATCCTTGACTCCGCAACCAGTCGCCAAAGTAGCTGTATAATGAAAAGTGGCTTAGGCGCCTCCGACGGAATTCCGATGATCCTTTTTTTTATCCTCATTTACGCAGTTGTACGCCGATGAAAATTACTTTCCAGCCAAAGTTAGCTTCATAAAAAGCGAAAAGCTACACGGGTAAAACGGTCCCCCATGCTTAAAGTCTTTTTTCTTTTTCCTTTGGCGCCGCAAGAGACGGCGATTCTAAAGATTCGTGAAGATCCAAGATAATCGATACCGTGAGAAAATTGTTCTCGATGTTTTTGTTTAATAGATCTTAGAATGCATATAATAACATATTCGAATAGATATATAACAGATTTTCGTAATTGTTGCTTAGATGTTATATTTCAATGTTATATTTGTTAAAAATATGAATTTTGCTTACGTTACATAATTAATATATAATTACTTTATATAATCTATTCTTTTTCATTTATACTTTATATTTTTAATATTTGTTGATTTTGTTTTGAAAATTAGCACATTATACTTTTAATGCTATATATTATTTGAAATAAACAACGGACAGAATCTTGAATAATTTAACGAAAAGATTTTTACTTTGCAATGGAACCATTAAATTACTCTTACTCTCAATTAATAACCCGTAAACATTTTTATAACACGATATGCAGGATTCATTTTGTAAGTAACAAATATAACATTTTTACAAAATTGTGTACTCTTTCAAAATATTTTTTCTCTTAATGTAGAAAAACTCTTCCAGAGCTAATATAACAATATATATTGTGTAAAGAAATATTAAATTAAATATCTCTTTAGTAAGATATTACTATTCTTCATTATAGTAAGCTGTAGCATAATAGCTACAGAAATTAAACTTTGTAAAACGGCGCAGACAGAAGCTTTTGTGAAATTTTTTCAAGGAAAAATACCGTGATTTCTGTGTGCGCGTTTGCGATTACATCACGCATCTCGTTATTACAAAAACGAATTCCGATTTACTTTCCGACAGCATGAAGAGAATCGCGTGGTAATGGACGGTTGAATTTGAAACGGAAGTGTGTGTAACAAGAGTGATACAGATCGATTCCGGTTGTAGATTGGGGGGTCGTGTCTCTCGACCAAGTATGAAGGACTTATGTATGCACGTTGGGATATTCAGACATGAAAGGAAATTGAATAGTGCTTTCACTCAACACAGGGAAGTAAAGCCGGACCTCTGTCATCGTTTACAGGTCGATTATTTGGTTAAAGGGCCAATCTTGTCGATCGAAGCGGCCATGTGCGCACGATGTCGCATTTATATCGATTTGAAACCGCATATCGTGTAACCGATATGCTGGTGCGTGCGATTGGACCCGTTTGTCATACTGAGCGATGACCATAAATTATTTTTGTTCCTATATCTGCACCATATCGACACCTCGAATCAAATATTATAGCGCGTAGAGATTCGTCCTTCAACGTTTCTATGATATTTGACTAAATTCTCTTGTATCCGCTATTCGAATTGCAATTTACACTGCAAAACAACATATTTATTAAAAATAAAATACTAATTTTCATTACATACAATTTTCCTTCTCTATAAATTATGTTATCGATGTGATTAATGTGAGAACTATATTTGAAAAAAATTTAATCTAATACGATTAAGATAGTAAATGATTGAGATAATATAATTATATTAAAAGCATGTAAAACGGCATTTTAAATAACATCCTGATTTATATATTGTTAATTATTAAAAATATCTGTTAGAATAGATAAAAAAAATGTTTCAATATAGTTATTCTACAGAGAATATTTATATCTATAAGAATTGGATAATTAGAATTCAAGATAAATGTATAACAACGTGTCATTAAATAAAAAGTATCATTTATACAGTAATTATAATATTTGACGGTACTTTGATAATTATTGTAAAAAATAACGTAATGATTTTATACTATAAGTCGCAAAAATTAATACAAATGCAAAGAAGAAATATATAGCAATAATCGAGCTGCACTTAATAATAGTTAAGTGCAGCTCATTACTATATTTTTTTATTTCATTTATATTAATTTTGCGACTTATAGTATAAAATCTATATAGTTGATAATTTTCTTATCTAGAATATATTTATAACAGAACTTCAAATTACTTCAAACTAAACCAAATTATTTTCAAATAATTTACATCATTTTCGATAAAAGAGTTATTTGACAAGTTAATTATAAAAATGCTATAAGCGATCGAAGGGAATGCGGCCAACTTTAGTATAATATATTAAAAATATCCAGTAATAAAGTCCATAAAAATTAAGCTACTAAAATTACAGTTACGTTATCTGAAATTTGATCGCGTGAAATTTATTAATTTGGATTTCGAGGGCGAAACTTTTTTTTATAAATTAATAATAAGTTAAACTAGACCGCGCTATACAGTGAATAACATAAATAAGTAGAGAAGCGCCAAATACGGTCGAGACTGGATCTTGGTTTCTAATAATATTTCTAAATTTTATAAATTATACACAATTAAATTACTTTATTGAACCGTACGTTTTTAACAGCATGAGCGCATCATGGTATTATTATAGTTTATAACGATTTTTCTGCGATTTTTCAAATTTCGCTTTGCGTAAATGATATTTGTGACATATTTATCGCATTGCTGCCTCTTTAAAAAGTGTATTTTTGCTTTATGTATTGCAGAAAACAACATGTCCGCTACGGAATCGTGCGACGATGATGCGAGCCCAACATGCCGGCCAAGGTAAGAGCTGAGTTTCGACGTACCTGCGATTTTAGATGTGCATCAATTATGTACTTTTAAAAACTAAAATAGCTCTATTCGCATTTTATTCGCGAGAAAGTAAAAAGCTAAATTTAATTCGTTTTGCCGTTCCTTTCTCGCCGGCAATTTCGAGTTCAGCTTGTGCACTGTAATAAGAGGGAGAGAGAGGGAAAGAGAGAGAGAGAGAGAGAGAGAGAGTGTGTGTGTGTGTGTGAGAAAAGCCGTGAATTTTGTGGAAAGTATAACTTTTCTGCCGCACGTCAGTAATTAATTTAGTGTAAACGCAGCGGGACATTTAATCAGACGGCGAGTTAGCGCGGTTCGTCTTTCCTCCTCTCTCTTTCTCTCTCCTAATTAAATAACAACTTGCCATGCATTAATTATAATACGATTGTCCGAGCTTATAGTGCGCGAAAACCCCGGGCTGTTACGGGCATGCGGATGATGTACGAGATATATTTTCATTAGTGATACAAACTTCGCAATGGTCATTGTGCGGTAACGAAATGCCGCATTACGTCGTGTCACCAGGAAAATGTGTCGCGGTTATATAGCATTTTCGCTGAATCGATCCAACTTAGGAAGAGCGGTAATTAAAATACCTATATAAGTTTACATAATTGTGCGCGCGCGCGTGTGTGTGTTAAATACTTATACAAATGCTAAAATGATGTGAAAATATATCTAATAACATATTCGTGTTTGGAGCGCGTTTTAGAGATCGGTAGTGGTAGTTAACGTGTATTTTGTACCTCAATAAAAAGGAAGATTATGTAAATATTTCATAACAAAGTAAGAACAATGTACTAATATAATATATCAACAAAAAAAGTAAAAAAGTTTAACATATTAAATTTCTTATAAAAATCTATAAAATAATATAACTTTAGTGATAATCTTGATTTATTTTAAAAAAATTCATGTTATACACTACCGATATAATTTTCTTTCAAACCACTTTTGTGCTATCTTATACATAACTCTTGAGTTGTAAACTAAAAAGAAAGCAATATTTAGATATGCATTTTAAAATTTGTTTTTATAAATATATTATTTCCACCGAATTTAGCACTGTCCATCTCTTAATACGAGAGGTACAGCATATACGAGAGTATATGTGCATAAATAGCACATTATATATGCGCTGCTATATAAACTGTAAAATTAAGTTATTTCTGCAAAAAAAATAATACATGTTATAATATTTAAAATTTTATTGATTTCCGAGAAATCATCGCCTTATTTCTTACAGTTAAAAGTATATAATTTTTCGGCTTTGATACAATTTATTAGTGCCTATGTATTTATATTCTCTTTCGTTTTCTTTTCGTATAAATTTGGAATTATTAAGACGATGCACAAATGTTGTTCTAATAATCTTATCGAATATCGTAAGCTATGAGAAGTTATAATTTCTGACTCGGAGCTATGCGGTGCTTCCCACATTAACAGTATGCTTGAAGTCAATAGCAAAGCTTTGACCGAATCTGACGTATTAGCTTCTGTGCCACAGCTTTTGCTAATCCGGACTCATGGAGTCTGGATGGAGTTTGCAGTTGACCCGAATCCTCTTGCGGAAGCAAAAAGAAAACCAATGTTGAAAACGAAAACGGAAATAAAACCGGATAAAAAATGGGGAAATCAGCCGAGGAGCATTTGCTCTTTTTTATCGCAATTTCTGGCGCGAAAAAATCAAGTTGAAGTACAATAAATCTTATTTTTCAAAATCATGTACAAATAATAATAGTCATAATAAATCTCAATGTTGCAAAAAGATATTTTGACAAATCTGTTTTTTTTTTATAGTGAACACTGAACAATTAATACGAGGTAGATATTTAGGACTTGACACGGTATTATAGTATCGTTTCGTCGCGCGTAACTTTAACGTTCGGTGCTCAAAGCATTTAATGATGAGATCAACGTTTGATTGAATCTCTTTTAATGACGTTTCTTACGTTCGTTAATCACAATGTGTAAGCAGCAGTAATTGCTAGTGTCGGTATTTATGAAAAGGCCTAACAAATATCCTAATAAATAATAAATAATTATAACTGCAATATTGCAATTGACCCGAGGCCCTCAATGAGAAGGAATCGCAGGAATAATAAAATATCAACCTTTAATATTTATTAAAGGTTGATATTTTATTATTCCTGCGTAACGGTACGTAATTTATTATCTTAACTGCATTATTTTAATCATTTTCAGATATTACAGAGCAGTATAAATAAAATATATAAATACATATAGCTCGTTATAAGTACAGAAACCTCTAGAAGTATATAATATTGCGAGAAGTTCTTGATTATCGCGTTGATCGTAGCTTGTTGGAAAAAACTCGAACAAAATAATTTGCATTGGTCATCCCTGAAATTGATTTTTATTAAATTTATATAATAATACGATCAATTAGCGCCGATTACGCATTTATATACTATAATTGCAGCGAGAAATGTAATATTTGTGATTAACACGCTCCATATGATATTATATCGCTATATGTATTATTTTTAACGTGCGAACAATATACGTACGACATAAAAGTGCACGTATCTTTTTGTACGAAAATTACGCATTTTTCAACAATCGTATATTTGATTTTATGTATAGTCTTATCTGACACATAGCATTTTATGATATCCATAAATAACTATAAATAAATAATGACAAGACAACTGAGAATCTTTAAAACGAAAAAACAACAGAAATCAATAGAATAAGACAATTTTTATCATTTGATATGATTGTAGTTATATAAATTTTCTGCCATACTTTGAATTAATTTATTATAACATTTTATTATAACATTTATTTCCAAGTGTGTTTAGACAATAAATTACTAATTAACTTATTATTTTCTTATTTTCATATTGCTTTTAATATGCATTGTGAAATCGAAAAAAAAACCGATCAAATAATCAATAGTAATTTAATTTATATTTCAGGGAGAGCAGAATTCATAGCGTCGGTCTACCAACCAGAACTTCTCTGCTTCCGGAACCACCACGCACCGGAAATGACGTACCGCCGCCAATACCACGTCGACACTCTGCCACGCCAGCGGTAATAAATTTTATTTGTTTTTAGCTATCTTTGGTCAGGTAAATTATTATTTTATTTAGGCACGATTTAGATATAATACTTTCATGCACGGTTTTACTTTAAATAAATCTGTTCAAAATTAAATGTCTTATCTAACAAATCTCAATAATATTCTACAAAGAATACATTTTACTCGCATTCAGTAAGCCATCTATTATCATTTATATATCAAAATTATTAAATTATATGTATATTATAATTAAATTATTGTATCAAAATTTATTATATTATATATACATAGCGTAAAGCGAAATACATAGTGTAAATCGTAATAACATAAAATGTAAAAATGCATGCGTAATTAATATGAAACTGTTGAAAATATTTTTCTTTTGTTTGTCATTATATTAACTTAATTATCATGTAATATGGAAAAAACACTTTATAAATTAAAACAGTATGTAAAAATTTTTTGATTTATTTTTAATTTTTTTGTATATTGACAAAATGTTAAAAACCTGAGAAAACAAAATAGACACAATTTAATTATAAAGGCTCACTTAATATAAAATATTATTATACGTGTACTAGCAATACTGACCGTACGCATTTGTTAAAAAAATTAATTTTCAATGCATATATTCCTAATTTGTCACCTCTTACAACATATTGCAATATTGTCGGACAATAGAGAGATATTAAAGAGAAAGTTGCTGGAATGATTTAGGGTGAAAAGGAGATGGCGAGGCGGGAGATACTAAAAGGATTTTCGAACTTTGTATCTCCTCCTACGCAGGTAAGTTTGGAAAGTTACCGCATGGTCGGTATCCCAGCGTACCACATAATCTCGACACGTTAAATCACGCGACTAAAGCCCAGTAGTTAGTGGTACGCCGCTACTTTGCGAATTAATATCAGTGGATGGGAAAACTGTCCGACAAAATTGGTATACTGTGCCAAAAAGGCTTTTATGAAAAAGAAAGAAAAGATTATTGTGCAAAAACACAGAATGTACTTTTTACAACAATCAACTGTGCTACAATAATCCAATCATCACTATGTCCATAAATAATGTGCGCATTGCCGCACGAAGTGAACATAAAATATAAATAACATAAAGATTATTTACGTGAAAAGATATGATATTATTTCGCTTTTTTAAATTGCATTGCGTACACGTAATACAACTTTATAAAAATTTTATACTTATATTGAACACTATGGGTGTGGAATGCTTTAGATTAATTTAATTAAATTAAAACTTTATGGTTTATAAGGAAAAACTAAATAATGATTGTTGATTTGGCAGAAAAGAAAAGTCCACAGATTGAAATTTGGTGCTGCGATATATCCATACATCTTCCACACACACACACACGGACACACACTACACAGCATTCACTAACTTGCAAGTATTAAGTAGTATTTTCGTAAACGTTAAACAGTTTTCTGTTTGATTTTAATGTACAGCAATGAATAATTTTACAAAATCTGTTATAATATTATAAATGATCATATATAAACATAAATTTATTTATTATTTATATTTTTAGATTCGCTTCTTTATTTCGAATTTTTATATATAATCATTAAAATTAATTGTTAATAAATTTTTATCAATAAATTTAGAAATTATAATGATACTAAAAATGTCGAATGCTAAAATCGTTGAGATTACTCGAGGTACTAAAGCGTGATTCACGCGCAACGAGTTTGCCGACGATAAATGCTTGGAGCTAATGAACTTGCGTGTTGCTTTACGTGTGTCAACAAGGCAGTTAAACTTAATGCTTGTCTTTGAGCGATGATAAGCGTTGTAACTTTGCGCGTAACTTTCACGTCAATTTACGCAAATCACGTAGCTGGTTGCCAGTGAGAATTCTCATTACGAAACGGTGTTTTCACGTCAAATTAATTATTTCCGTTTAGCTGAAGTAAATACGAAATTTTTCTTCAAAAGCAAAAGATATCCAAAAACTGTTTGATTTTATAATGAAAAAAATGCGAAATTTAGAATAAGTGCAAACTAACTAGGAGAAATGTAATTTGACAGTACAATAGTTTAACCCTTAATTTCCAAAGGATCATTTTATTATATTGTTTCTACATTTGTTGTTTTTAACTTATTCGATACCGGTGCGATAAGATCGATATAGTTTAATTTCGATATTTAGTTTTCCATTAAATAATAAGATTCTAAAAATTCTTCCTGTGCTTTTTACAATTAGAGTAAAAGCACACAGATAAAATCATGCTTTATTCTTGACGCAGGTAGCACCACCTCCGATTCCACTGAGGCCGCCGGCGATTCCGAAGAGAAGCAAGAACGAAAAACCTATACCTCTGCAACTCACAACCAGACAGAGCAATCAAGTGGCTCCTTGTAAGATGAGTGATCCTTCATCCGTATCTTCATCAGGAATGTCGACTGCGTGGAACAGCGTGGACTCGACAAATCAAAAACTTATAGATTTGGGAGCCTTCAGAAATCATCAGGCGTCACAGGTGATATTAACTGTCAAATTATTTTTAGCAAAATTCTTTTAAAGCTAATAAATTAGAAATAATATATAATTATTTTAATATTCTTTTATGATTAAACCTGAATCAAGTTGTGAAAGGCAAAGTAAAATACCTTCATATTTATATAACTATTAAAAGCATATTTTTCTAATAGTAGGTACTAAATCGAAAATAGATTAAATGTCTATCTTAAGAATTTGCTTAATAAAAAAATATAAGTAAAAGAAATGGACAGTTAGATGATTTCTCTTTCTTGAGTGACTCCAAAGTTAATATCTAACGATTTGTTGTTCTAAACGCGAATTAATTGTTGTAAAGAGCACCTATCCCATCAAAATTATTTTATTTCAGATGGAGCTCATATCGTGTTTATATTCGAATTTTCGATGAGTTGCAGGATTACTTGACGAATTATGGGAAGGACTTGCGGGAAACGAACGAGCATAATGATTTTGTGGCTGACTTCGAGCAAGCGAATTTCCAGGAAGGACATAAGATCGCGCAAAATTCGAGCTTCGAGGAGTTGCACAAGGTCTCTTTGGATCTCGAAAAACGACTTCACGAGAGAATTATTAAGAGCGCCGAGGCGAAATTCGAGGATCCGAATGGCCGTCAACGACAGGGTATGATGCCGCGACATAATAGGTAATAAAAATTCGTTATTTATATGCAATTCTACTTTTTAAATCTTTCTCGAGAAAACAATTGTGTACATTGTGCGTTTTTGTACAAATGATTCAACATTGCCGTGTATACGTCAGTTATCTCATCACGCCGAGTATTTATTTTCAAATACAGTAGTACTGCATTAAAGATTCTGCTATTTAAATGCAGAATTTTACTGCTGTATTGATACAAGTTAATAATATGTCGGTTTAGATCTGCAGCGAGATATTACAGAGGATCATACTTATGAAGCGTGAACTCAGATTCTATTTCCAGTAAATCTGACAAGACAAGAATATTCGTTCATTTTTTAAATCGTCATTTCTCTACCGTGCAAGTATTTTGTGTTTTAGAATCTCTAGTTTAGAATATAAATCACATATTACGGAGAAGAATATAACAGAGCAATGTTTTTTGGAAGTTTGTTTATTACGACGCATTTACTTGCTCAGAACAAGTAATATGAGCCATCTTTTTATTTTCGGCGATTACACTGGAATCTCATAAACTGAAATAGCGAATCTCGAAATAGCGCACAAAATCCCTTCCATACGCGTTAGACGCACGTGAGAGGCGTGAGTGGGAGTATAGCGGTAGAACCGCGTATCTATAGGCGTATTGTTATCAGAAGTCTTCCGCTGGCAATTAGAAAGGACGCGTGTTGTACAGATTTCATGCGATATTGTTTATAAATTAATTTTTTGCAAGGATTAATATTTCGAAAAAAAATTCTTGACATACGAAAATGAGATTTCTACATAAAATAATGTGTGGACGAACCGTTACGGCCCTGAATTTCATGGTGTGAAAATAAAGTGGAAACAAATCTCGTTATTACGTTTAGAGCCCCTAACTGTGCGCTATTGCAAGGTTTCAGTGTATTTTCTACACGAGTGGTGTTTTCGCCAAGAGAAATTAATTGCTCGACTCTTTCAATTGGGAAATAGTATTCTTCAATATTATGTTCTTTGATATTTTTCAATATATACAAAATAATTGATAAGATTCTGCGATTTATTAATTACAAAATTCACGTTTCTGATTACGCTGCAGTTGTTACGTGATACAAGAATGTGATTTTAATTTGAATGCTCACAAGGAGTTCTCTCCTTTTTATATAGACAGTTGTCAAAATTTACGAAAGAGAACGAATCCGTCAACTGCGAGCAGAGAGAATCGTCCGAAAGCAAACCCAGGGAAGAAATGGCATTACCGCGAAGAGAAATTGTTCAAAAAGATGAACCGAAGTACGCAACGATTTTGAATTCCGGTCGCGAACGGCGATCGAAGTTTGAGGAGTTGCAGGCGGCCTCGAAGAATTTAGAGAGGCGTTTGCACGAGGACGACGATTATCGTCGACGTCAGGAGATCGACAAACGGATAAAAGACAAAGACAAGCCACCCAGGTACAACCATACCTCCATGTAACTTCCTCCTTATTTTCGTCGAGCGTCAAACTGACATAATTTGCAGAATTTCATAATTCTCGAGAGTGCACGAGAGCGCTCGCTGCAAGCGGATTAATTAATCCAGTAAATGTAAACACGCGATTCGTTGCGTTTAGATACGAGGACCTGGAGGGAATCTCGCATGATCTCGACAAACGTTACCACGGCGAGCAGAGGGCTTTAGAGCAGCAACAGCAGCATCCAATAATGCGGAGCAAATATGAGAGCGATATGGAGAGGGCTAGGAATATTCTTCAGCATAATCTGAGGAAGGAGCGAGTCGGCGGCGAGAAACTCGAGAAATTGCCAAAAGCAACGCAGACGAATTTACCACCACCCCTGAGCGCCATTTGTCAGAGTCAAGTACCGAAACCTATCAGCGTCCGGCAGGATAGCAACGTTTCCTCAGACAGTTTTAGTCAAACCAGCTCCCCCAGCTACACCAGCAAGACAATGGAAGCCCCCCTTCTGCCTCACAAGCACGGGAAAGTTCCAGGTATGTAGGTTCGAATTTCGCCAAAGCTTACCGGATGGTTGTCTTGAAGGATGTTATCGTTAGCGAAGACCTAATAGAAGCACTAGGAAAGAAGTTATGATTGCGACTTTTGCTTTACATGCAGAAAAGGATTTGCATGTAATCTAGATATGATAATGTTACGTTGAATTTTACGATTGCGTATAATCGTGAAATAACTTTAAAAAATGGAAAGTATAAGATAAAATAATCTAGTTTTAGATCTATGAATTTTAACGCATAAATCTCCAATCTTGCTTTAACTTGTGACTGAACATTTTGACAATTAATCAATTTTCTTATAATTTCTACCGAAAAAACTCTATAATTTGATTGGTTCTACACGTATTACAGGAATAATTCTCTGACAATGATTTTTTGTTTGTGACATCATTATATCTTTTGTTACGTTTAAAATTTGTTCTTTAAATTTTTACGCTTCTGTGTCAAAATGGATACAATAGGATTCCCTATCTGTCACTTTGCGACAAACTTTTGCATAGTACTTTAAATATTCACGTAGTCGATGATTTTTTTCGATAGAACTTTTTACTTATGACATCGTCACCTTTTTTTGCAACGCGTAGATATTCTTTAATCCGTCGCGCTTTTATGTCAAGATAGATATGACATAGTGCTCCCTTTCTCTCGCTTTTCAATGATACTCTGCATAGTTCTCCAAATATTCAACTTAATTCATAATCATAGTTAACTATCTTTGGGGAATGCCAATAAAATTCCATTATATCAATATTAAAATGTAGAAGAATTTCATGTATATCACGATCGATATTCGTGCTCGAGTCATGATCAATATTATTAACTGTGACCTTGTTTACTAGCTTTTATAGAAAAAATACTCAAAATTTCAATGTTTATACTCAAATTTAAGTGTTAATACCTAATTTTTGGGAATTTACTCTCAAATGTGGGTATATATATTACAATTATGAACGTACTACTTTACTGCAAGTTAAGTGTTTATATTTTAACAGTATCTATGTACACTCAAAGATTGAGTGTTTAAAAGTACTTAAAATTGAGAATATACATTAAATATTAATTCTCATGCTTGAATATTAATACTGAATTGTTGAATGTAAAAATGCTCGCAAACATTTGAATATTAAAAAATAATTGCGTTTGCTTAAATTCTTTAAGTAAATACAGTAAATTTAGAATATTGCGGTTGCAATTTAATAATATATCCGTTCTTAATTTAATATTTAAAAACATATTTTAAATAAAAATTAAAATAAAATTCAAAGTCAAGGCTTCAAATTAAAATAATATTAATAAACGAAGTAAAAAAGGGCCACGAGCCAAAGCTTGGGTATTGTATCGCTCCAATATATATATTTATTAATTTAACAATTTCATTACGATTTGAAGAACAGACGTTTCTCGACAATTAATACTAGATTAAAACGGTTTGCTGTTAACGATAACCAAAAGAATCGTCATAATGATAGGACGGATGAGAATAATTGGTTTTTCACAATACCATATGTTAAAACCATCTCTGAATCTTTTAGGCCTATTGTTGAGAAATTCAATTTAAAACCAGCTTTTTCCATTCCAAATACGTTAAATAAATACATAAAAAGGGGAAAAGATTTATTAGATCCTATGTGCCACCAAGACGTGGTATATAAAATTTCTTGTTTGGACTGTGATGCTTCTTACACTGGCCAAACTAAGAGACAATTACGAACGAGAATTAATGAACATCGAGATCGGAAGAGCACACGTCTGAACTCCAGTCA